AGTCTGGAATCCAGACCCCCTCAAATGCTAACCCGCCCCTAACCCTGCCCCCCCCCCCCCCTGGCGTAAAGGCCAGCTACGCCACTGTTGGCATACCCGGTTTTTCGCCTCGTTCACACTCACTTGTACGAGTACCATCTTGTAGCTCAGGGGAGTATGCTGTTATGCTTCACAGTGTGAAGTTCACATGATACAACCTTCGAGTTTCAGGCCATGACTCTTCGTAGTTGGTGAGAAGTCGAAAAGTGGTAAAAATATTTGTCCACAAATTCTTAGTATACCCGCGTTGAAATCATGCCTCGAAATACCAACTTTTCTTTCCTTTACTAAAGAAGTAGATCTATAACTACGAACCTAATCTAGTGCTATGCATCAACAGAAAGAGCATCTTTTATTACAAAGATATTCCTCCATATTCCAGCCTACATTTGGAAGCATCCAGCCGAAACTGACCAGCACAGCAAGAGAACGCGAATGCGCGGCGAAATCAGGTGTAAAACCCGCCATTCAGGGAGCGGTCAGAGCTCAACACGCACTAACAGGCCGGAATTTTGAACCTCCGCGGAGAGACCGCATTGGGTTCGGCATAAGAACGGAGCGAAAGACAAAAACATGGTGAGGCGGAGGGCGTAAAGTGCCGTAAGGTACCTCCGGAGCTACCTTACCCTAAGGCCCGTAAGGTGGGGGGTCCTAAAGTGCCCTTGTGAAACCACCTGAGGTGATTCACCTCACGTGAGGAGGTGCCCTCATTTCACCTCATAGGCGCAGGTGCCTTAAGGTAAGGAACCTTTCCGACCTCCGCCTTACCTTAGTCCCCGAATTATGGTCTTTCTGAAAGAGCCTGACCGCCGAAAGGCGCAGAAATCGCCTAGCGCCTTACGATTTTTGTGGGGTGATATACAAATCCAAGGAAGACGACAAAATCCAAGGAATACAAGTCGAAGGGTAGACCCGGAACCCGACAAGGCAACCAGAAACCCGAACTGTTATAAAGATGAAATCTGTTATCAAAGCAACCAGGAGCCCGAGCTGCTACACGGGTGAAAGCTGTCACCAAAGGCAACCAGAAACCCGAACTGCTGAGAACGAGCGACAACCCTCCTTGGATTTTGTCGTTCTTCCTCGGATTTTGTAATTTACCCGATTTTCGTGCCTTGCGGGGGCTTGTAAAACCGGCCCCTTCTCATCGCAATTCAGTGTTTTACACTGAAAACCAGGTCGTTGAGAAGTGGCAAGAATGCAAGTGGCGTCACAACGTGTTTGCGTACACGTTCATCGACAAACATAGCCTTTTAACCACCCGTCTGTGGTATTGAGTTGCTGGCATCTTGCCGCATAATCTCCGTGTCCTCATCTCAACAACCCTTACACGGAATTTCGCACCTAATCGATCATTATGGCGCGCGCAGTAACATTTGGAATCGATCGCGCTCTCAAACCATCACGTCTTCCGCGTTATCTGTCATCGTCGATCGTTGCATCAGCGAATGTACTGCGGGACTGTGACGTGTTCGCTCTCCCGAATAGATTTCGCTTACATAGAGTCGAGATGGTAAAAGCACCCCACAACTCGTTGTGTTTTGTGGGGCCGTCAGAAGTCTAACATTTCGATCATTGAAATTTTGAAGTTTTGATACTATTCAATTAACTCGAAATCGCAGACGATGAGATTGAGAGCTCGGTCTTGGTTGGTGTACAGTGCATTGAGAGAGTGTGGCTGTTTTGCAGTTCAGTGTAACACAAATTCCACGTGAAGTGCATGCCTCCACTTCCCGCGGTATCATTTCTGCAACAAAAACTGCACCCTATGGTAGGACATATCGCACGTCCGTTCTCTCGTAGATCGTTGCCACGTTACATCTCTCATTTTACGATCGAAAATATATGAAAGTTCGAAGCTTCCTGACGTGTTGGTACTCAACTCGCGATGTATGGTTGCTCACAGGTTCTGCCTGATGGTTCTGGTGGCTTAGACCTCCCTGGCCGTTATGGTACAAACTCTACCTGTTCTGAGTGAGCTCCTTACATAGATATTCCTATTCGTACAATCGCTTCGTCTCACTGCGTTCTCTGGATTTGCCGTTAATGTTGGAACCACCTGAGCCAATCAATTGCATCAATCGCGAATCAATTTCAAGCTTCGTGAAGTGGTCTGTCTTCAGTCACTCCAGAAGCACCGATTCGGATGAGTCATCCATGGATTTCTTTGAGCGTCAGCGTCAAGAAATAGCTAGATGGATAGCTAACTCGATGCACAACAAAGGCGCCGATCCCGAGAAGGTTCATCAAGCTTGTCAAGCTCTAGTTCAACACACATTCAGTCAAGTTGTTGAAGCTCGCAAGAGAGGGCCCAGCCCGATCACCAACCGTACAATGCTGCGACCTGGGGATCACTCGAACGGTCGAAACTGATTGGCCAAGGTGTGTCTTTGGAAGCTCGGGTTTTCGCAGGGTGATTTATACCTCAGTGTGTAGGTACCCACAGAGCTACCATTCTCATCTCATTCTCATTTGCTAGCATCTTCTGGTTGATGGATGATGTGGTTCTATTATTGTCGTCAAACGTAAATGTATTTCATTTTCATTGAAGGTGTATGCTGAATACGATTCGTTCCGTGAAAGTGAAGATTTTTATTGATGGTAACGTGGCAGCGTTGTGGATCTGCACTTTTCGAGTGTCTAAATCGACCTCGATAGCATGCACCATCGGTGCCGGCTCTTGTCCGTTGCTCTTGCATACCAAAATCATCGGTATGGTCATCTGTTGTTATCAGTCCGCTGTTGGTATGATCATCAGATGGGTATTTGAATTTACTGCGAACGTGTGAAGCTGTTGCAGAAAGATCAGTCGGCCCTCTACGTGGTTCCGTCTACATTGCATTTTCACTGAGGGAGTCTCCTAGTAGACTACAAGATGTGGAAGGGGTTCTCCGTTATATTCTGTCCAGTAGTGATGCTACTCACTATTTAACGTCCCTCTATTTCCTCGTTCGCTGTATTTTCTACTCCCTCTATTCATGAAGATAGTCAACTTGTTATGGTCACACTCAAATCAATGTACCTCTGGTGTTTGTCAAAGGGCGCGCTGGGTGAGAAAGGCGACTCAGATTGTCTGCTCGCAGCTAATACCCCCTTGAACTCATTCCCTTCACTCCGGCTGTCTCCGCCGAAGTGGTAAAATTAGTCGGGAAATTTGAACAAAAACGCCAATCTGAAGACTCACGATGGCCGATACTGATTCGAACTTGCTTGTCAACAACTACACTGATGTTGAGGAGGAGCTCCTCGACAACACTGTTGCTGAGGAGGACCCCAGCAAATTCTTGTTGGGGGTGAGTTCAGCAACATATCTTGTACCCAATTTTTGATGATCCTTGATGTTAGTTACTCCATGGTCACTATAAAATTGACGATGCTCAGGACAGCAGCGAGGGCTCAGTTTATTCTACGTAAGCCTTACGCTGAGGCAGTCGGATGAGAGTATGGATAAGGAGGTGATTACTTGTCATTTTCTCCCAGATCTTCGTCGTCATTCGGTGGTGATACTATCGATGTACCCATCACCATGGAGAGCTTCTTACGACGTCAACGCAAGTGCATGGAGATATGCATCTATCGCCAGCTTATGACGAAGAGTCGCGGCAGCAGTGACCCCGTACAAGTTCGCAGAGTATGTGCTGATCTGGTTGATCAAGCTTTTGATGACGTTCGGGAGGCCCGTGTGATGGGACCAAGCTCCTTGACCCACAGAACGATGGAAGGCGCAGACGAGGTGCGCTGCTTATGGTCAAGTCTCGTTGAGCCCCAGTCGAGCTTCTTTCATTCGCATGGCATTGATTGGGTGCATCGTGGGGTGTGCCTCGTGATAGCTGCTACTCGTGGCATTCTTGTTGCCGCTCTCGAAATTAAAGAGCATTCTCTCGGGAGAAATGGGATACCAGTGACACGGATGCTTTCTATGGCAGGTATCACCAGGCTGAGACCGATAACTACGGTGTCCTGAGCTTCCTTCAAAACACCTCACACATACTGCTATGATGACCCCAGTTTTGACCGATTTTTACTTTGAGACTTTAACCGTATCGACTCAGTAATCGACCCGGATCATCGGTTGTTCACAGAAGCATCATTAGAGACTTCCGTGAGTTGTGCTGTTTGACTTTTCTTATAACCGTTATTTTTGAAGGAATGAAGTACTGCTGCTATTGCTGAATGCTCCCCAGTGAGGGGCGCTACGCTGTTGCGTAACGAACGCAGCCCAATGAGTTCAACTATGCACGTAGTGTTCATTGTTTGGTAGTGGTGATACTGAAGTGCTTCTTTTTCTCAATGCTTTTTTTTCGAACCAGTGTTGGTTCATTACTGATAAATGAGATGTCTACTGGCTAGAATCTCTGACTCCTTGTTTGTGGTAGATAGCTGTGGTAGCTGATACCAAGACTTGCGTTCTGTCATAGGGCCTCGTATCCTCGGTGTGGAGAGTATCGTTGAGGGAATCGGGATCAGCTATTAGCAATCATCTCATATGACAGCGAGGATATCCGCTGAAGCGAGTTTATTAGAACGCATACACCTTTTCCGCACTGACTGGCAACAAGGACATGGAAACTTGAAGAAGTTCATCAGAGAATGTCAAAATCTCCGAACTGTGACACCGCAAGTATGGACGAAGAGAGTGGCGCTAGCCTATGTTGAGCTGCTCACGGAAATCAAGGAGCAACCCGCTCCTCGCGAACGACATTCAAACGCTGATCACCATCGCCCTCCTGCTAGAATGCGTGGTGGTAGCAGCGTGGATGGTCAACCCTCATGTGAGCCACATACGCGATGCTTACGCGATTCACACCAGTCATCAGATCCGATGGAGTCTAGTAAGTATTTCGATCTAACCAAGGTGGATTGCCAAAGACCCCCAGACACTGTTCGGAACATCCCTGAGGTGATGGAGTTTTTGAGCAGCCTTCGCTCTCCATCAAGAGTGCCCGAGAAAAGGTAAAATGTCAGCATCCTCATATCGATGTCTGATTATCATTTCAGGTATACGGATCGAAGGAGCTCACCACAGTACATGCTAGGAGCTAGTAGGGAATGTGATTCGATGTAGCAGAATGGCGACTTCTTTTGCGGGCGGTGAGTACAATAGTGTCACTCAGATTACATGATACCACTTTTCGAGAGAGCTCGATGCCGATCAACGAGTTCGATCGTGCGAGGTGAGATGTCGTTACCATATAGTTCATCACTCGGTGGCTGTCGCCCCACCTTAGATGAACAAATTTTCAATTGTTGAATAATCGTGAAACTGTGATTTGGATGAGATTTTGAGCGATGTCCATGCTCTACTGCACCCCATGAACTCTGAAGGAACTCTATTCCCTCTTCAGCGTATCGCAACAATCAACTCGCCCTGGATCCGAACAGGGCGACTCTGCAGCGATGCACTATTCCCCGCAGAAGATCACTGATACACCCTGGAACAGCATGTTTGGTGGCGGTGGTGGATCAACTCAAATCAGTCCGTTCATGGTGGGAGCTCATACGAGACAAAAAGAGGATTCGTCGGCCCCCCTGGGAAGACCGTTGTCGAACGAAGGTGAGCGAACAGTAGGAGCTGATGAACGTCTAACTTGATTGTTTCAGGAATTCCCTTTTCGACAAGTTGCCAACACAGCAGCAAGGAGTGTCCACCTGCGACGCTCTTAAAGAACAACGCCAACTGTCCGGTAAGATAGCACCATTCCATGTGGAAACAGCAATGCGACTTCCATTAGGATGCCTGGATTCCTGGTCACCAATGTGACGATCTGTGCAACAGCACGCTGTGCAGTTTGGAACAGCAAGCTACCAGTAGAGACCATCAAATATATGCAACACGATGAACATGACGTGAATTTGAATAGTTGTTGAGTATTCTCAAGTACTGTCGAGTAAGTTTACTAGAATTCAGCGCCTGCAACGCCAAAGCAACATACAGACTAGCTAACAATAAACTAGTTATTTCTCACCACAAGTACGCGGTAACCGAGACGAACCGCACAACGATCACTTCGGCCGTTAATACGCTGGCCCCTCGAACGATTCTGTTCGTATTAAGAATTATTAGGAACGCAACAGACAAACGATTCTGCACCCAATAACCAGCAGCTGTACGAGAAACCGAAGCTTCCTTGTCACGACATAAATCCATCACTGTGAGAGGCGTTAAACCTCTGCATGAGGAGGGATATCGGACACGGCGGTAAATACTCATTTATCGGTTAGCCTTGGCAATGCGCTCGATCTCATCCTTCTTCTTGATGGCGAAGGAGTTTGAGGATTCCTTGGCGCAGTTCATGATCTCATCAGCCAAGCACTCGGAGACCGACTTGATGTTACGGAAGGCGGAGTTACGGGCGCCGGAAGTGATGAGATAGATGGCCTGGTTGACCCTACGGAGGGGAGAGACATCGACGGCCTGACGACGGACGACACCAGCGGAACCGATACGGGTTGAGTCTTCGCGGGGACCACCATTCTTAACGGCATCAACAAGAACCTACAAGATGATACCATCACTCAGGGAAGAAGAGGCTATTGAATGGCAGTACCTGGATGGGGTTCTTATCGGTGAGGAGATGGATGATCTCGAAGGCGTTCTGCACAATGCGGACACCGAGCTGCTTCTTGCCGTTGTTGCGACCGTGCATCATCATGGCTGAAAGAGAGCAGGAATGTGGGTGAGAGGAGCTTGTATATGTCTATTACAGTTGACGAGACGCTCGACAATGGGGCACACAGCCTTGCGGAAACGCTTCTTCTGGTAACGGCCAGCAGTGTGGGCAGTGAACACGGAGGCAGAGCCAGTGTAGGCGATGTAGTCCTAAAGGTAAGAAGCATTAATAACGACCACTATCATCTAGTCTCCCCTTTCCGAGACTTAACGACAGGCGATAGAAACTCCCGAATTTCCCTTCCGAACGACCCTCAGCGCCTAATGCGAAGTACTCCTCATCCCGGGTCCCACCTCCAATGAGAGATCAGAGGTCTCGATACCCTCGTAACTCCACCTGCCGAAAAGCTTGGGCTCAGTCGCAGCCATGTTGGGTGACTAATCAACAGAAATCCTGGCGCCTCATTGAGGCTGTCGATCGAGCTATGGGCGAGCGAGATTTACGCAAGCGCGATTTCTAAATGCGCCGATCGTAGTGCTGTCGCACGGCTCGTGGTTTTGTTGTCAATGCCCGCGTTGTCGATCGAAGGGTATGGCCAGATATCAGGTCTCAGACGAGTACACCGTTCTCGAGTGGAAGATAGAGTAGTAATGGCAGTCCTACCGCATAGAGCTCGTGAGGCACACAGAGAAAGGTCGGACTGAGCCGACTTGGAGGGTCGACAATGAGGTCAACGTTATAGCCGTGCATTGATCAGGATAGAAGTAATCCTCACAGCACTCTAAGAGTGTAGGGTGCACGTTGTGGGATGCTCAGCCATGATAGAGCGGTGTTGTCGCCTGGATTAGTATTGAAGTAGGAATGAGGAGGGGCAGACCGCATATTGCAGCTATAGTCTCTCCAGCTGCATCATTCCAGGGATCACCGTTGGAGCTCTATGGGCTCATCCCGGATCCAAAGAGCTCGTCCACTCCCGTGAGGGGTACACGAACGTAATGGGTCCGTGTTCGGGAGCGTGTTATTCTCGATTGGAGAGCCCCGCGTTATGCATTGTAATTAGCCTCAGAGTCGGCCTATGGTGCAGCATACTACGTTCGCATCATTTCATCGTTCCTTGTCGGTATTGTGTTGGTCACAGAAGGACGGTCTGTGAGAGCTATTGTCAGTGGCTACAAAACAATATCATTGATGAATGGATAAGAGCAGGACGCAGAGCAAACATGATCAGGAGGAGCAGGAGGGAAGGGCTTCCTTCGTCCGACGGGTACGGGCTCGGTACGGTTAGTCATAGTGCACTAGCAGTAGTGTGGCTTCATTCGCTGCAGCCGCTACTATTGCCACGTGTAGGATGTCTTTATGGTAGATCCTCTGCGCTGGTCTGCCTCTCCTCCTCTCCAACCCTGACGGTTCCCTCTCGGAAAGCCATCCATGTGGGTATAGAGATCCAACTCCTCCTCGTACACCTCGGGATGGCTTCTTAACTGCGGCTGACATATCCGCACGGTAGGTAGCTCGTACGATTGGAATGGGGGAGTGCGCCCGGCATTTAGGCTCTTCGGTGACGTCCTGGGCAGTGGCGATCCAACTATGGTCGCTGAGGAGATCACCATACTGTATGAGCGGCATCGGACGGCTTTCGCTATCCTACTGTTCGTGCAAGCGGTAGGACGGGGGGTTTGCCTGCGACTAGGATCCTGTCATCAGGTTTTACAAGGGCTCTTCTCCGCTTTCCATATCACCCATAGTTCGATCGCCATCCATGACCTCACCGCGATGTAGGCCTACTGCTGATGGTACTTGTGCACGACTTGATGTGCAGTATAGTAAAATATGCACATGATCAACTACATGTGTCGGCGACAATAGAGAATTTTTGAGAAAATTTTGGGAAATTTCTGTTCGTTTTTAACATTTCTATACGAATTATTCATATATGAACCTCTTAAATCAGCGAGCTCAGCTGAGGAGAGCGAACAAATATATTCCAACACTGTTGATGTGATCGTGGATAGGTATAGGTCGTCGTCCCATCATCTGATGAGCATCATCTTCTGGACTCTAGTGGGGGCTGAGATAGTCTACACTGTCGTGTATCTAGGGATAGGCTGTTGGAGCATGTACACACACAAGGCTAAGCATTATGCCTACTTCTCTACTTGGTGTCTGGCCGGTGAGACTGCAACTACTACTATCACTACGCTGCGGTCGTGATGACGGTATTTGCCAGGGATCGTTGGGCATGTATTGTTGGCTTATGCGAATCAGTTCAATATCATCATATTCTTCTTGAGGCTAATCAGCTACATCTACGGCAAGTAAGCTCGTCTAGGTTAGGCGTGTCGAAAGACGGTGGAGTGACTTCAGGTTTTTAAGGGACATAGTAGTGGGAATGATGTTGCTACCAGCACATCATTCGTCGTCCTATATAGACCACATCGGAAATCACACGCCCGAGAGCTTCACACCAGCATCACTCGCAAGTTTACAGGTTTGAATCTCCATGCGTTGTCGTACCGTAAATACTCTACTTTGTGTTGAATTCATGACGAGTGTTCATACGATGGAGCGGCAATCGGATTAATGCGGGGTCCTGAGTTTCCTATTCGAATTGATACTCAGTGAGTATCAATTCAGCCATTCTGAGCTCTACTCATACCACTCGAAGTACTTGAGCGTGACTTGCGAATCCAACAAGGCCGTGTCGGAATATGTGTTCGGTTTCCTCAGCTGAGCTCGAGAGTTGTCTCACAACATTATGAGGAATAATACCCGACTTGAGGAAGAAGTGTAGAAAATCCAACAAAGAGTTTCCTCCGAAATATTCATGACCCTTATAATGGAGCGATCTGTGGTATCATTGACTGCGTTCTTAACGAGATTCAATCGAACTTGCCTCCATCGACACTCTACATACACTGAGTTTTTATAGCTGTCGGACCGCTGCGATTCCCCGTCATATAACATCCTCCAAATCACTGCCGACAAAACTTCCAACCCTCAGTCGCGGCAATTTGCAAGAGGAAACAAGTGCCAACTATCTCATGTTGCTACCCTATCTCTGGAGCCATACGAGGCTGACCATAGCCAAAGAGAGCCTCCGACAATCACAGAGGAAGTCGACTACGGGGGTGAAAGAGAAAGTCAGATGGAAGCTGTTGAAGGCCTCAATTCCTAATCTCTCACGCTCGCCTGTGATAAGAGGAGTGGCCTCACATAGGTGGAGGTTGTGAGCTACTGAAGGCCCGATCGATACTCATGCTGATGTTTCCTAGCAAGGATATCGACGATATTCTTGCATCTACTGGTGTTATTAGTCACTATTGGCATGAGCTTCCACAATCGCTTGAGGCGCTCTCGATGCCTGTTCGAGAGGGCACCAGGCAGGATAGATACGAAATGCCGATGAGCTTCCTGGTTGAGTATCCTTCACTTGATGATAACAACAACCTTGCTTCATCGAGAGTACAAGCCTATGATGAGGTGCGATTAACGCAACCGCCAGGAAACCTTGGTGAAATAGGCCCCGGATCTTGAGCTTCCGAGCTGTCGTCGGCGAGCGATATTTTACCGTTCTCATTAACTGGCGGCCGAAGCGCGGACGGACGGAGCCTCTTCGCCCAGGGTTCAGCTCTGATTGATGATGATGATTATGTATTCCGTTAGGAAGAATCTCCTGAATTGATTGAGTCGATAATTGGAAGATTAAAAGTCATCACCGCGTCTGGAACCTGTGTGGTTGGGATGGAAAACCTCACAGTTCGATGATGCTCTACTATTTGCGTATTACTCCACTGGCTGAAGCTTGATACAGTATGCTAGGGTGTCGCAAGGCCTGGGAGTAATCGACTTAGACATTGAGCACTCGTCGTTGTCTTCACCATCATCATGTCGAATCCCACCGCTATTCTCCCTCCCCCACCGGACTTCGGCTCTATTTCCCTCACTGGAAAGGCTGTGGATTTTCATCGCAGTCTCCTCGTTGGTATCAGAGAGCCCCACTTGATGCTCCCTGTAGCCTTGCATGAGCTTAGGAAGGTTTGTGGATGATGAGTCGTTATCAGATTATCGATTATATCGAGGAGCATCAGCTCTACGATGAAGCCAGCATCAAGGCACTTCGAATCCAAGTCGTCCGAGCCACTCGTATGGTCGACTTGCTGGTAATAAGATGTCTCACTCGGTGTTAGTGGAGGCGTGTGGTAGGGTGACCTCACGGGCGAAGACATGTCGGAAGCCAGGGATGCCTTGCAGAAGGAGTTGGTCGATGCGGAACAGGCCGCTGACAGTGCTATGAAGCTTATCAAGGACCCCGAGCTCTGGGGGAAGATACAGGCTAATGCTGAGTACGGGGATGCAATGTTGAATATGATGATAATGATGATGTGGATAGTATCTCTTCAGAGGGTCTTCTTTCGGGGCCTTGGTGTTGGACTACGGCTTCCCTGACGACATCCTCGATAGAGTCTACCACCTAGGCCGACTGAACTATCAGGCGGGTCGCTATGAAGATGCTTACTCAGCCCTACAGGTCCTAAACTCACTAGCTCATCTCTGTGACTAGTATCTTTACAGGTGTATCGTACGTTGCTCACTTACCTAGGACCGAAGCAACATCATAAGTATATGCTGTCTTCTTTATGGGGGTCTCTAGCATGTGCTATTCTCACTGGGCAGGTAGTCGTTCATGGACGCTGGGGATATCGTGCTGCAGTGTATCTTCAGTTCGATGCAAGTGTCGACCTCATCGGTAAGCTATTCGAGCTCTATCAGTATGAGTCTTCGGGCCCATCAAGACCAGTCGGTGAAGGGGCTGGCAACTACGCAGAGTCGGTCGCTGTGCTGATTCATTGGAGTCTATTCGCTTTGTTCCGGTACTACCACTTGGTGCTTTTTTCAATCGCAGCTGCCTCGGTCTCAGCGCGCCATCTCCTTCATTGTGCCTCTCGCCCAAGTTGGTGATGTTATTGACCAGAGTGAAGGCGCTGCAGGCTATCATTTCGACGGGTAACTTCCATCTGCTTCGGTGAGTCTTGGGGGAAAGGTTCTATCGGTTTTTACGTCATTTCTATCAGTTACGTCGCCATTGTAGCCCTGATATCACCTCAGCAACTTGCACAGTCGGGCGCGAGTAAACGCGATACACCAGCGAGCACTCCAGTGTCACTTTTGGCACAGTACTTGGAGGGCCAGGAAGAATGGTAATAAGTCGGGCTCATAGGTCTATGTGGGTATGGACGTATGAATAGGTACTGTGATTGCTTTACCAAGCTTATGGTAGCAGTGTATGTTAAGGCGGATTTTGTGGCTGCTAAGGAGGCAGCTAGGGAGTGTCTCAAGACGGAAGACTACTTCACTAGCTCTATCGAGAGAGAAAACCAGGTAGTGGTGGTCGAAAGTCGTAAAGAGCATTCCTGATTCGCGTGGCAGGTCGCTCTAGGCGTTGGGAGAAGCCTTGCTGGCGCTCTGATGGTGGTGTATAGGGTCAACGATCTGGCCTCATGTTTGACCAAGATGATAGGTAGGCGGCCTTAATGCTGTTCACTAATTATTAAGTTTTACTTTCCGGTAGGTATCAGTCAAGACGTTGCTGAGATCTCGGTCGAGACGGCTAGCCGGGGCCGACGCAGTGGACTCGCCTCGGGAGAAACTACCGAAACCGAGAGCTAATTGCGAGGGAGTTCACTAGGGACTGTTTCTATATAGTATGGCTGTTGAGTTATGCTGTTAATGCTGTGTTGGGCTCTTTGGGGAGCGGTCTCCTACCGCAAAGGTGTTCCTTTTCGAGACCACCGTTGGGATTCTGGCGAGGGATCTGATAGGGTTGTTGGTGAAACTCCACAACAAGAGGATTAGATGCATCCGGAACCACGAAGATTGATAAGGGATCGGTTTATAATGGCTTACTTTAGTTGAAGTTCACGGTGATCGGCTGTCTTGCGTTTGTGGCTTCGACCCAGCCAGAAGAGAACTAGAGCATGCCCACGACCCGTATTGTCAATTGGAGGAAGCGGTTGGTATTCGCTGCAGTTTCGGACACATACACAGCGGCCTTCCGGCGGAGTTGATGAGATTTTGTCATCGTATTATCTGATGGGAGGTCTAGAAACAGTAAGAGACGCATTAAAATGCTCAGGAGATTATCGGTGATAAAACAGCGAGGTTAAATTTTGGATGCTATTAATCCCACCTCAGCCCTACTTACGGCCGGCCGTGCGCCCTATGTTCCTCAACTACGGCATCGTATGGTCTTCATCAGGATGTGTCGGAGCCGACGCAATTTTCCTTTGGTGGGCTGGCAAGGTATTGTCGAACTACATCGGCAAGAACGAGAAGTCCAAGATTAGAGTTAAAGTGATGGCCTCGTAGGGTGATTGTCCCAACTGGATGCATGTCTAGATGGATGAGGAGCCCCATAAGGCAATGTTGTCATACTACTATGGGACACCGGAGCGAAAAGCTCTGAAAAACGACGATGACGACTCGTGTATCTCATTAGTGAATGGGCTGAGCCAATCCGAAAGCGCTGAATGGTGAGTATCTCTGCAGCTCTATTCTACTAGCTGGGCTCTCTGATGCAGCTGGTTGGTGGCGGGTGAGGTATCAGTTAGCTTGAATTAATACCATCACAGTCACTAGTGCCGGCATATACCGGCAATTGTACTCCATAAATGTGAATGGTGAAGTTGCGTTAGTATTGGATTACTGCGCGAATGGCTGTCACACCGATCATTGTGTCTTGTGTCGACAAAGTATCGGTTCTTATGGTCAATATAACATGATCAGCAGTTTAACAGTTGAGACTTTGAATGACAGTAAGGGTGCAGCTTCAAATCTTGCAGGTGTCATGATGATGTACGTTTTACCGTTGTTCGTCAGCAAGTAGACACACAGTGAATTGCAATCCTCTACAAAGCATAGGTCAACGACGGGTCTCTCATGTCACGGCGAGCCGTGAACTTGTTGATCCTCATATGAATCTATCATTCTCCATGTCGTTAACACTCAACAACACAAACCAAACTTTCACACTCACGAAACTCAATGCTTCCTACGCTTGTTCGACGACCTCTTGTTATGACCACCACTGCTCTGGGAGACTTGGGGGCTTCGTTTCAGCTTCTCGGCGGTCTCCGCCCCAAGAATGCGGGTGTCCACACGATCCCATAGGACATCTCGCCAGTTTGCCAACACCGATCCCTTGTCGTAGATGTTTTTGAGCTCACCAAACTCTCCGTTGTGATTTTCCGTCTTCAGACAGTCATGCAGGCCGCGCCACTTAGCTGACTCGTTGGTAGTAACGTTTGAAGCCGCGAGATACAAATGCCAGGAAGTAAAACCAACCAACACAATAGACATAATAGTACACAGAGTGATCATAGCAATCATTATGTACTCGTGTGTAAGCAGCCACTGAAGAATTATCCGCTTGCTGGCGTTGAATTGTTCCCCCGTACTGGGGTTGATGAATCGAGCGTTCCACAGGTCACGCTCTTGGACGACCGCCATGAGACTGATCACGCCGACCACAGCACCGTATACACATAGGGCGGTGTTTGCTAATAGGAAGGCGATGAACCAATGCACGTTATTGACACCAACACAGTTGTTTATCCATACACAGTGATGATCGAATCTAGCCACACAACAGTTGCAAAGGGAACAGTGTTTGCTACGAGCCGGCCTGAGAATATTACATGATGCTGTCTCAAATCTGAGGCGACTTACTTAGGCTGCTTGCATGTCGAACACTCCTTCTCGTGGAATAGTATGTCATCCATAGGGTATATCCGCGATATTGCATTGACATTGCGTTTAGTGATGACCCCTGGGTCTGCTATAGACGCTGAAGGCAACCAGGCAGGACAATCGAACAGATCATCTCAACTACGCCATGTCTCACCTCCAGCGAAGGTGTAGATGCAAATAACAAAAACGAGAAAGCCGACGTATTTGTGGTAGCCTCCAAGATAGAGGTTAGGGAGCAATGGGTATCCTGATAAATGCCGTAATGATCGGCCGTTGTGAAGTAACGAAATGCTCACCAAATATAACGTATAAGAAGTAACCTCCTACTACTAGGGCGAGGTAAACTATCTGGACCTGATAGAGAGTGGTCCCTAGCAGTGTGAAGAGTAGGGGAGTTTACTATAGGGTTGGCCTCATTGCAAGTGTAGTTCCAAGCTGAATCCAGGGCGACACCGCCGCGTTCAGACCCGCAGCAAAGAATGCGCAGAATAAACCTAAAGAAGGTCGAATGAGGAATCGACGAGAGTTCAACGGGATTCCACATTACTTGAGTGCATTGGGTACATATTCAGTGGCAGCTTGATACACTTTGTCGAAGACGCTGTTGCCATCTGATTTACCGAGTAAGAACACCTATAAACGATAACCTACATCGTTGTCTTTACCGTCGTGAGTCGTATGATCTACCATGTCAAACGTGTACAGTTGAGTTTCCACTCGTGAGTCACTGAAGTTATGCTATCAACACTGAAGTCCCTAACACAGTGTTCGAAAACGTCAAGCATGCGCCGATCCTGACTCAACACTATGTACTAGACGATTCATGCGAGTCTGTGTAGTGACAATTGGCAACTCTATAGGCTCACACCATGTTCATTGAATCCATTCAGAATTCAGAATCGATTCTAGCATCGTATTATACGTGTGAGAAGCGATTCTGAGTTTCGAAATCGGTTTAATGAGCGGTTACACTGTTGATCGTCACGTGTCACCACATCACTGCCTAGTTTGACCAG